TCACAGCCACCCCAGCGTTGATCTGCTGGGCTCTGGCGATCCTTCTGCCTCAGCCTTTCAAGTAGTGGGAACTACAGGTGCGTGCTACCACTCCTGGCTAATTTTTTTGATTTATTTTAGAGACGAGGTCTTGCTCGGGCTGGTCTTGAACTCGCAGGCTCAGGCAAGCCACTCGCCTTGGCCTCCCAAAGTGCTGGGATTACCGGCTGAGCCACCAAACCTGGCCTGTTTATTTATTTACTTATTTATTTGTCAGGATCTCACTCTGTCACCCAGGCTGGAGTGCAGTGGCACAATCATGGTTCACTGCAACTTCAAACACTTGAACTCAAGTGATCCTCTCACCTCAGCCTCCCAGGTAGCTGGGACTACCGGCCTGCAACCCCACACCTGGCTACTTTTTTGAGGTTTTTTTTTTTTGTTGTTGTGAGGAGGACTTGCTGTGTTGCTTAGGTCTTAAACTCCTGGACTCAAACAGTCCTTCTGCTTTATCCTTCTAAAGTGCTGGGATTACTGGCATGAGCCACCATGTCTGGTCTGAATTCCCTACTTATTTTATTGAGAATTTTTGCCTCTATGTTCATTAGGGATATTGACCTGTACTTTTATTTTCTTGTAGAGTCCTTGTCTGGCTTTGGTATCAGGGTAATGCTGGCCTTATAAAATGAATTTGGAGCTATTTCTTTCTCTTCAATTTTTTGTGTGAGTTTGAGAAAGCTTTGCAATAATTCTTTAAATGTTTGGTAGAATTCAGCAATGAAGCCATTGGGTCCTGAGGATTTTCTTTCTTGGGATTTTTGATTATTGATTCAGTCTCCTTACTTGTTATTGGTCTGTTCATATTTTCCATTTCTCCATGATTCAGGCTTGGTAGGTTATATGTTTCTAGGAGTTTATCCATTTCTTCTAGATTATCCATTTTTTGGCGTATAATTGTTCATAGTAGTCTCTTATGGTCCTTTGTATTTCTGTGACTCCAGTTGTAATACTTCCTCTTTAATTTCTGATTTTGTTTATTTGAATCTTTTTTTTTTAAGTCTAGCTAAAGGTTTGTTGATTTTGTTTACCTTTTCACAAAACCAACTCAGTTTTATTGATCTTTTCTATTGTTTTTTAGTCTCTATTTTACTTATTTCTGCTCTGAATTTTATTGTTTCAGTTCTTTTGCTGACTTTGGGCTCAGTTTTTCTTTTTCTAGTTCTTTGAGATGTAACATTAGATTGTTTATTGAAGTTTTTGCTTTCTTTAAAAAAAATTAAAGTTGTGTTTTAAATTCTTATTAGAAGTGAAATATATTGCATGAAAATCAGAATACACAAATATATTATAAGAAGAAAGCAAAAAAAAAAATCTCTTATAACGTTAGAAACGACCACTGAATAATCAGGTATTTGTTAAAAAATGTAGGCACTTACCTCTATAAACTTCTTTCTGAGAACTACTTTTGTGCATGCCGTTAATTTTGGTGTGTTATGTTGTGTTTCCACTTAAAAATATCATATTTCTTAAGATATTTTCTGATTTCCCTTTTGACTTCTTCTTTGACCCATTTGGATGTTTAGAAGTGTGTTGTTTAATTTCTATATATTTGTGAATTTTCCAGTTTTGCTTATGTTATTGATTTCTAGTTTCATACCATTGTGATTGGAAAAGGTACTTGAATTATTTCAATCTTGTCAAAATTTTTATTTTATTTTTTTGAGTTGGAGTCTCAGGCTGAAGTGCAGTGGCACAATCACAGCCATTGCAGCCTTGACTTGCTGGGTTCAGAGGATCCTTCTTCCTCAGCTTCCCAAGTAGCTGGAACTATGGGCACATGCCACCACACCTGGCTAATTTTTTGATTTATTGTAGAGATGAGGTCTTGCCAAGTTGCCCAGGTTGGTCTTGAACCCCTGTGCTCAGGCAATCCTCTCGTCTCTGCCTCCCAAAGTGCTGGAATTACGAGTGTGAGCCAGTGCGCCGGTGGTCAAAAATTTTAAGACTTATTTTGTGGCCTACATAGAAAGTTCCACATGTATTCTGCTGCTGTTGGATGGAATGTTCTGTAAATATCTGTTAGGTCTATTTGGTCTATAGTGGTGTTAAAGTATGCCGTTTCCTTATTGATTTTCTGTCCGAATAATCTAGCCATTGTTGCAAATGGGACTTTGAAGCCCCTTATTATTATTGTATTGCCATCTACTTATCCCTTAAGTTTCATAAATATTTGCTTTACATATTTAGGTGCTCTAATGTTGGGTGCCTATATATTCACAATTGTTACATCCTCTTGATAAATTGACTCTCTTATCATCATATAATGACTTATTCTCTTGTGCAGTTTTTTTTTTTTTGAGTTGGAGTCTCACTCCACAGCCTAGGCTGGAGTGCAGTAGTATGCTCATGGCCACCCCAGCATCGACCAGATGGGCGCAGGCGATTCTTCTGCCTCAGCCGTCTGTTCAAGTAGCTGGAACTCCAGGCATGTGCTACCACGCCTGGTTAGTTTTTTGATTTATTGTAGAGATGAAGTCTCGCCAAGTTTCCCAGGCTGTTTTCGAACCTGTGGGCTCAGGCAATCCCCTCACCTCGGCCTCCCAAAGTGTTGGGATTACAGGCTTGAACCACCACGCCTGGCCTCTCTTGTGCAGCTTTGATATAAGTTCTATTTTGTTTGAAAGAAGTATAGCTATCCTTGCTCTATTTTTCCATCCCTTCACTTTCGGCCTATGTATGTCTTTAATCTAACAGTTTCTGTAGGCAGCATGTAGTTGGATCTTTAAAAAAAAAATCCATTCAGTGACTCTATGTCTTTTGATTAGAGAATCGAATAATTTACATTTAAAGTACAGTAATTATTGATAGGTAGGGACTATTACTGATATTTTTTCTTTTTTTTTCTGGCTGTTTGTAGTTTCTTTGCTCCATTCTTCCTGTCTGGCTGTCTTCTTTTGTGACTTGCTTTTTTTTTATTTTTAGTGATACACTTTGATTCTTTTCTCTTTTTGTTTGGTGTATCTACTACAGGTTTTTTCTTTGTAGATACCATGGGGCTTACATTAACATTTTATAGATATAACAGTCTATTCTAAGCTGATAACAGTAACTTTGAATACATACAAAAACTCTGTGCTTTAATTTCTCTACTTTAATATCATTTTATGATGTTAATGTCACACGTTACCAATTGATTTTCAATAAAGATGTAAAGATAATTTGATAGAGTCTTTTTTAACAAATGGTACTGGAACAATTGGACATCCATAGTCCAAAAAGTGAATCTTTACCTATATCTCACACTACGTAATAATTAATTCAAGATAAATAATTTCTTAGAAAGTTTATGATACAACTACCATGCTATCAATCCTGCTACCGTGTATACTTAAGCGAAATGAAAACAGATGTTCACATAAAACTCTGTGTGCAAATGTTTCTGGTGGCTCTGTTAATAATCACCAAAATTAGAAACAAGCCAAATGTCCTTCAAGTAGGGAATAGGTAAGCAAATTATGGTACGTGCATACAATGGAATACTAATCAGTAATAAAAAGGAGTGAATTACCAATACATGTAACAACATAGACGAATCTTAAATGCATTATTGTAGGCCAAAGGAGGCAGAACAAAAATGCTATTATTTAATTCCATTTATATAACATTCTGGAAAAGGTAAAATGATAGGGACAGAAAAAAGAACAGTGGTTGCCAAGCGTTAGGTGGGGAGAGATGTTGACTACAATGGGGCATGAGGGAATATTTTGGGAATGATGAAACTACTCTGTATCTTGACTATGGCAGTGGTTACGTGACTTTGTATGTTTGTAAAATTGTACACTAAAAAGGCTGAATTTTATTTTATGTAAGTTATACCCAATAAACCCTACCCAAAAACAGAATAAAAATTCTGTTGACTTTAGGATAAGGTCTGAATCCCTTTATTAGGTTGTCAGTGAGTCTTCCCTCAAAAGTGTTATGTCGTAGAGAGTATATCGCAGTGAGTCATGGTATGATAGCCCCGTGCATTTTCTTTCTAGAACTTGTCCTAGTTTGAAATTGCTGTATACATCCCTCTGTTTATTCATTTACTACTCTCCTCCCCTCCACCCTGCTACACCTGGAGCCCTGGAAGTTGCTGTGTCTCTACTGCCTAGCCTTATACTCAGCAAATAGTAAAGCCTTGTTTGTTGAATGAGTGAAACTAATAAATGACTAGATGATTAAATGGGTGAATTCTACATATTGACATTGGACATATTTTAAAAATATTTTCCCCAGTAGATAGATGTTATTTCTTAATATCATGAAAAAGATTCTGGGCAGCAGTAGTTATTTTTAATCTTAAGTCAGTTGAATCCATATTAGTCAGACTGCTAACTTTGACTTTTTATCCCTTTAAAGACTTCCAATGGGCTGGGCTCAATGGCTCAGCCTGTAATCCCAGCACTTTGGGAGGCCGAGGGGTGTGGATTGTCTGAGCCCGTGGGTTCGAGACCTTGTCTCTACAATAAAAAAAAACAATCAGCTGGGCGTGGTAGCGCGTGCCTGTAGTTCAGGCTACTTGGAAGGTTGAGGTGAAAGGATCGCCGGATTTCAGTAGATCGACGCTGGGGTGGCTGTGAGTGTGCCACTGCACTCCAGCCTGGGTGACAGAGTGAGACTCCGACTAACCCCCCCCCCCGCAAAAAAAAAAAACCAACAAAAAAAAGTCTTCCAATGTGTTGAAAGGGCATCTTATATGCTCGTCTAAGATTTTCTGTATTTTCCGATCCAACTTTTTCTTTGCTGCCTTAATAATCTCCCTGGAATGTAGATCCTCACCCACTGCCCACTGAGTCTTTCATAGATTCTTTTAGCTGGAGCACATTCAAATGAGAATTTATCATGAATCTTTTAGAAGATCACATCTGCTCCAAAGGGATTTCCCCAGCAGGCATAATTTTTCTTCATAGAGAGAAAATCCCTACACTTTGGTTTAGGTTGGAAGAGGTATGTGATCATGGTTCCATCTCTTTCAGATTGGCTCCTACTTTGGGGCCTCTCTCTGCTCCGTGGACATGGACAGCAATGGCAGAACTGACCTGGTCCTCATTGGGGCCCCCCATTACTACGCGCAGACTCGAGGGGGCCAGGTGTCCGTGTGCCCCTTGCCCAGGGGGGTGAGTGGCTTATGAGATCCGGGATGGGTAGGATCTGGGTGTGAGGTGGAGGCTGCCTGGGCTTGGGACTGATGCTGTTTGTGTTCCACAGAGGGCTCGGTGGAAGTGTGATGCTGTTCTCCAGGGTGAGCAAGGCCACCCCTGGGGCCGCTTTGGGGCAGCCCTCACAGTGATGGAGGACGTGAATGGGGACAAGCTGACGGATGTGGCCATTGGGGCCCCAGGAGAGGAGGAGAACCGGGGTGCTGTCTACCTTTTTCATGGAACCTCAGCAGTCAGCATCAGCTCCTCCTACAGCCAGGTGAGGCCAGGTTGTTGTCTTGTCATGACAGTAGCTTCTTTGTTGATCTGTTCCCTTCTGATTCAGAGTTCTTACAGCTGCCAGGTCAGTTCTTCCAGTATTCCTTTTACAATCTTCAAAAATAATAACACATGCTTCATAGAGACCTCAAAGAATCTTCATTCTAGGTTAATTCTTTTTTTTCGTTATGTCAATAACTTAAAGGGGCACAAATAGCTTTTGGTTACATGGTTGTATTTTATAGTGGTTGTATTTTATAGTGGTGAAGAAGGTTGTATTTTATAGTGGTTGTATTTTATAGTGGTGAAGTGGTTGTATTTTATAGTGGTGGTTGTATTTTATAGTGGTTGTATTTTATAGTGGTGAAGAAGTCTGGGTTTTAAGTGTACCCATCACCCCCACCTGTGTACATTATACCTGATAGGTGATTTTTCTTTCCTCCAACCCTTCCCACCCTCCCAAGATTAATTCTTTCTATAGTGATAGGAGGTGCATAGGGACATCATTACCCCAACTTTGCAAATGAATAGGTCAAGGTCCAGAGATGGTAAACGGCAGCCTGGAGGTACCAGATGTAGTCATTCCTTTCTTCTTCTGAATCTCATTCCTGGTAAGGGATCAAGCATTCTGGTTTGCTTACATCTGTCCTTATTTTAGCATTGAAAATCCCACATCCGGGGAAACCCATGTGGTTGTTCACCTCATGGGATTGCATGTGACTATACAAGTCACACACCTGTGTGTATTTGTGACAGAAGGACCCTGTGCTTGGTTTAATGCTCTGCTATTGCCATCTTAAATTCTTTTTTTTGAGTTGCAGTCTCACTCTGTCACCCAGGTTGGAGTGCAGTAGCATGTTCTTGGCTGCTGCAGCCTCGGCCTGCTGGGCTCAGGTGATTCTTCTGCCTCAGTCTTCTAAGTAGCTGGAACTACGAATGTGTGCCACCACACCTGGCTATTTTTTTTTTTTTTAGAAAGCAGAATTTATTTTATTTTACTTTTGAGTTGGAGTTTCACTCTGTCGCCCAGACTGGAGTGCAGTAGCACCCTCCTGACCACCACAGCCTCGACTTGCTGGGCTCTGGCGATCCTTCCGCCTCAGCCTTCCAAGTAGCTGGAACTACAGGTGCGTGCTACCATGCCAGGCTAATTTTTTGTTTATTGTAGAGACGAGGTCTCGCTAAGTTGCCCGTTCTGGTCTCAAACCTGTGGGCTCAGGCAATCCACTCACGTCGGCCTCCCAAAGTGCTGAGATTACAGGTTGAGCCACTGAACCCGGCCAAAAGCAGGATTTCTTAAGAGGACAGAAAAGCTCCCACAGTGGGAGGGGACCTGAGGGGGTTGCCCCAGTTTTTTGATTTATTGTAGAGACGAGGTCTTACCAAGTTGCCTGGGCTGGTCTTGAATCCGTGGGCTCAGGAAATCTCTTGCCTCAGCCTCCCAAAGTGCTGTGTTTACAGGCGGAGCCACTGAGCCTGGCCCAATAGATTTTTAAATGTACAATACAAGACTGTTATGTATCGGCACAGTGTTGTACAGCAGACTAGAACTTATTCACCTTGCATAACTGAAATTTTATACCCATTGATTAGCAGCTTCCCATTCCTCCACACCCCAGTCCCTGGCAGCCACCATTGTACCCTTTGCTTCTGTGAGTTTGACTATTTTAGGTAACGCATATAAAGTGGAGTCATGCAGTATTTTAAAAAATATATTTATCATTTATTTTTTATTTTCAAATGTTAAGTTCAGGGGTACATGTGTAGGTTTCTTACATGGGTATATTTTTTGGTGGGAGAGTTTGGACTTCTAATGAAACCGCCACCCATATGAAAGTGGTACTCAATAGGTAGTTTTTCTTTTCTTTTTTTTTTTTGAGTTGGAGTCTCACTCTGTCGCCCAGACTGGAGTGCAGTGGCCGCTCCCGGCCACCGCAGCCTCAACCTGCTGGGCTCTGGCAATCCTTCCGCCTCCGCCTTCCAAGTAGCTGGAACTACAGGTGCGCGCTACCATGCCCGGCTAATTTTTTATTTATTGTAGAGATGAGGTCTCGCCAAGTTGCCCGGGTGGGTCTCGAACCCGCGGGCTCGGAATAGGTAGTTTTTCAACCATTTTTCCCCTTCTTCCCTCCCCCCCGAGGAGTCTCCTGTGTCTATTGTTCTCATCTTGATGTCTGTGTGCATCCAGTTTTTAGCTTCCACTTATAAGTGAGAACACATGGTACTTGTTTGCTGTTTTTGTGTTTGTTCACTTAGAATGATAGCCTTCAGTTGCATCCATGCTGCTGCAAAGGACATGCTTTTGTTCTTTTTTATGACTGTGTAGTATCCCATGATGTAATACGTACCACATTTTCTTTATCCAGTCCATCATTGATGGGCACCTAGGTTGGTTTCATGATTTTGCTATTGTGGATAGTGCTGTGATAAACGTATGAGTGCAGATGTCTTTTTTTTTTTTTTTGAGTTGGAGTCTCACTCTGTCGCCCAGACTGGAG